GATTAGATTCGTTTTATTCTCGCCACTCAGTCTCCTAGAAAAGTATACTTTGGTCTCTGGGTTGCGAAATATTTCAAAATTGACTTTATTATTGAACAAACTATAGAGAAGAGCTTTCTAAAATTCTGAGTAGAGATCGGTCATCTGGTCGTTTATAGGTGACAAAATTAATTTCGGAATATGAAATTATATGGATTCTATTATGGACAGATTCTCATACAGTTTTAGTAGAAACTTATTTATATCATTTCATAGCGGTACTAGTATCTTCTGGGTGTAACAGTAACGTTCTGAAAGTGATGGAGATTAGAGTCAAATGAGACCTTTTTAGTTTAATAGACTTAATTTCAAACTTAATTAATAACACATGTACATATACATACATATGTATGTATATATACATACAATCTATGTATGTTAATAATACCCACGTTGGCGCGCAACAAGTTACCAGTAAATGGAATATCAAGTTCAATAATTTGAAAATAAATTCCCATAAAAAATATCTCCATTTATACTTCAATTTGAAATAAATAAATAAATATCAAAAACAAAAAAAAAAATTAGAAAGATTAAAAACAAGAAAACACTCCAACGACCTTTACAATTTCTCACGTACGCCACTTATTCAAAGTATATTTATGAAATTATCGAATAAAATTTTAAAAATTTTCCACCACCGTGTTGTTTTCCTTTTATCTAAAACTAGTCTCTAGTCCCACTGACCGACTGACTGACCTCTGCACGTGCTAGACAGAAAAAACAATTATAACAAAATTCAAACACTTGACAAGATAATTAATAGATACGACTACATATTACGATCACAACTTGTTAATCGATCTATCGTTAGATCAATACAATAGAAATTAAAACAACAACCGTTGCTTTGGCACGTGGTACACACACTTATTCGTATATACATACATACACATATATGTAAATATAAACAATAGAAAGAAATGTAAACAAATCTAATAGTTAGATGTGAACAATAACAACAAACCAATAACCTGTAAATGCGCTTTTATAACTATTTATATATATATGGACGTGTATAGTGGGAAATATTTGTCTTGAAAACTACTTGTGGTTGTGGGAGCAAAATATTTTTATAAACACACCCTACAATCTGAGGAAATGTTGTACTGAAAGGTTGTCCACAAACAGAGTAACATGTTTTAAGAGAATGGATTTCACAATGGGCGAAAAGTTTAATATTCACCTGACTTGTGGTCCAGATAGACTTTCGAAAACGAAATCGATATCATTATAAAATAATCCTAAGATTTCAATCAGTATAGAATGCCAGAATTTAGGCCTAATATGGAGTATGGTCCCTAATTTAATAATATATGTAGATTATATAGTTATATATAAGCTTCTATAAAGTACTTTAGTATGAATATGGTTATTACGGAACTCAGAAGACTAAAGATAAGTATTCAAAGGCTGCTTCCATATTAGTAGGGTATATTTAATTCGACTTTTGAATAAAAAATGTCTAGTGACTCAAATAGATATTTATCCGTGTAAATGCCATAGTATTAAAAACGTGTCCATAAATCGTGTCTGACAAAATGTAGTTTTAATTAATTTAAATATGTAAATTATTCTGTGTTATTTAATATTATTTAATAGTAATTATATCAAATATATTATCAATATTTAATATTTATACAATGTTTAATATTATGTCAACATACATAAAAGTGAAATAATATGAGAAATAAATTAAAATTGTATAAATTTAATAAGCAGCGGTTTTAGAATTGCGCGAACCCAACATTCGAAGGGCGCAAGGATTATTAATCAGCTAATTATCTATCTATCTAGTCTATCTATCTATCTATCTATCTATCTATCTATCTATCTATCTATCTATCTATCTATCTATCTATCATCTACTCTATCTATCTATCTATCTATCTATCTATCTATCTATCTATCTATCTATCTATCTATCTATCATATCTATCTATCTATCTATCTATCTATCTATCTATCTATCTATCTATCTATCTATCTATCTATCTATCTATCTATCTATCTATCTATCTATCTATCTATCTATCTATCTATCTATCTATCTATCTATCTATCTATCTATCTATCTATCTATCTATCTATCTATCTATCTATCTATCTATCTATCTATCTATCTATCTATCTATCTATCTATCTATCTATCTATCTATCTATCTATCTATCTATCTATCTATCTATCTATCTATCTATCTATCTATCTATCTATCTATCTATCTATCTATCTATCTATCTATCTATCTATCTATCTATCTATCTATCTATCTATCTATCTATCTATCTATCTATCTATCTATCTATCTATCTATCTATCTATCTATCTATCTATCTATCTATCTATCTATCTATCTATCTATCTATCTATCTATCTATCTATCTATCTATCTATCTATCTATCTATCTATCTATCTATCTATCTATCTATCTATCTATCTATCTATCTATCTATCTATCTATCTATCTATCTATCTATCTATCTATCTATCTATCTATCTATCTATCTATCTATCTATCTATCTATCTATCTATCTATCTACCTATCTATCTATCTATCTATCTATCTATCTATCTATCTATCTATCTATCTATCTATCTATCTATCTATCTATCTATCTATCTATCTATCTATCTATCTATCTATCTATCTATCTATCTATCTATCTATCTATCTATCTATCTATCTATCTATCTATCTATCTATCTATCTATCTATCTATCTATCTATCTATCTATCTATCTATCTATCATCTATCTATCTATCTATCTATCTATCTATCTATCTATCTATCTATCTATCTATCTATCTATCTATCTATCTATCTATCTATCTATCTATCTATCTATCTATCTATCTATCTATCTATCTATCTATCTATCATTCTATCTATCTATCTATCTATCTATCTATCTATCTATCTATCTATCTATCTATCTATCTATCTATCTATCCTATCTATCTATCTATCTATCTATCCTATCTATCTATCTATCTATCTATCTATCTATCTATCTATCTATCTATCTATCTATCTATCTATCTATCTATCTATCTATCTATCTATCTATCTATCTATCTATCTATCTATCTATCTATCTATCTATCTATATATCTATCTATCTATCTCTATCTATCTATCTATCTACATCTATCTATCTATCTATCTATCTATCTATCTATCTATCTATCATCCTATCTATATCTATATCTATCTATCTATCTATCTATCTATCTATCTCTATCTATCTATCTATCTATCTAGCTATCTATCTATCTATCTATTCTATCTATCTATCTATCTATCTCTATCTATCTATCTATCTTCTATCTATCTATCTATCGATCTATCTATCTATCTATCTATCTATCTATCTATCTATCTATCTATCTATCTATCATCTATCTATCTATCTATCTATCTATCGATCTATCTATCTATCTATCTATCTATCTATCATCTATCTATCTATTCTATCTATCTATCTATCTATCTATCTCTAATGTCTATCTATCATCTATATATCTATATTCTATATATCTATATATCTATATATCTATATATCTATCTATCTATCTATCTATCTATCTATCTATCTATCTATCTATCTATCTATCTATCTAGCTATCTATCTATCTATCTATCTATCTATCTATCATCTATCTATCTATCTATCTATCTATCTATCTATTCTATCTATATCTATCTATCTATCTATCTATCTATCTATCTATCTATCTATCTATCTATCTATCTATCTATCTATCTATCTATCTACTCTATCTCTCTATCTATCTATCTATCTATCTATCTATCTATCTATCTATCATCTATCTATCTATCTATCTATCTATCTATCACTATCTATCTATCTATCACTACTATCTATCTACTCTATCTATCTATCTATCTATATCTATCTATCTATCTATCTATCTATCTATCTATCTATTAGCTAGCTTATATCTATCTATCTATCTATATATCTATCTATCTATATATCTATCTATCTATCTATCTATCTATCTATCTATCTATCTATCTATCTATCTATCTATCTATCTATCTATCTATCTATCTATCTATCTATCTATCTAGGATCAACTTCTTTCTCAGTTATGTATACAAACAGTTCTTTACACTTCAAATTATGACATCAAACTGATCTTATTGTCATTATAATTGCTGTATACGATCAAAGTTCCTCTCTCTATAAACACGATGTCTACGCATAAAACTCGTATAAAAATACTGCGCTGTTATTGGTTGATCAAATCACGAACTTTTAAAGAAATGCCCGTTTTGTATGCTCCAACAGGTGTTTAGTTGTAGGTATGTTTTACAAATGAAAAACGACGATTAACACGAGCGCGTATTTTATGTTGTTCTTGTTATTTTTTTCCTATATTTCAAAGTATTTGTCGATGGCACACAGATACGTAGAGTAAAGCGTTAATCGATCAATGAGTTTGATATAGTTTTTTTTTTTTTTTTCGAGTTGCGAGCTGTTTATTATTTGTTTTGTGAATATAACCGTAACGTAAAGTGTTAAAATTCTTCAGACGGTTTCTGTTGGTCTAAGATCAATGTTCAAGACGTGATTTTTTGCGCGAAAAAAATTGTTATAAAATAGAAATTAAACAAAAATTTACGATAATATTTGAAAGTTTGACAAAATTTCAAAAAAAAAAATAAAGGAAATTTTATGAAAAAGTGTATTATTATATTTAAAAAAAATATATTGTTTTTAAATTAAAAATAAAAATATAAATATAAAATTAATTGAAAATACACACAAATAATTAAAATCACAATTATAGACTTATGAACTAATTAAAGATTTACGTCAATAGTTTTAATGACAATTTATATGACATTATTATCAAATAAATTAAATTGCTTATATTGCTAAAGGAGTGTAATTTATATATCAATAAATCTTTATATTATTTTGATTAAATTAACAATATAAATTGTTTATCTAGTTTCAAAAATACAAATGATCATTTTTATCCTGGATTCATTGTCAAAATAACGGTAAATATGAAGGATATTAAATAATTAATTAAAAAAAAAAAAAATTATAATTTATAGATTTTTTGTAATTTTTTTATTTTCCACACATAAATGAATTTTAAAATTTTAGACTGGTCTACAGTCAAGACTTTAAACTCATCTATAGTCAACTATATTGACTGATCTATAGTAAATTTCACAGAATGGTCTATAGTCAAGGCTATAAACTGGTCTATAGTCTATGCTGGTCTATAATCGAGTCTATAAACTGACACATAATAAAAATTATAAAGCAGTCCTAACCATATAATAGTCTACTGTCTTTACTATAAATTAGTCTCTTGCCTTGACTATAAAATAGACTATCAAATAGTTTATAGTCTTGATTATAGAATAGTCTATAGTCTTGGCTATGGAACAGTCTATACTCTTGACTATAAAACAGTCTATAGTCTTGACTATGGAACAGACTATACTCTTGACTATAGAACAGTCTATAGTCTTGATTATAGAACAGTCTACAGTCTTAACTGTAGAACATTCTATAGTCTTGACTATAGCATAGTCTATAGTCTTGACTATAGAATAGTCTATAGTCTTGACTATAGAACAGTGTATAGTCTTGATAATAGAACAGTCTATGGTCTTGACTATAGAATAGTCTATAGTCTTGACTATAGAACAGTCTATAGTCTTGAGTATAGAACAGTCTATAGTCTTGACTATAGAACAGTCTATAGTCTTGACTATAGAACAGTTTATAGTCTTGACTATAGAACAGTCTGTAGTCTTGATTATAGAACAGTCTACAGTCTTAACTATAGAACATTCTATAGTCTTGACTATAGAATAGTCTATAGTCTTGACTATAGAATAGTCTATAGTCTTGACTATAGAACAGTGTATAGTCTTGACTATAGAACAGTCTATGGTCTTGACTATAGAACAGTCTATAGTCTTGACTATAGAACAGCTTATAGTCTTGACTATAGAACAGTCTATAGTCTTGACTATAGAACAGTTTATAGTCTTGACTATAGAACAGTCTATAGTCTTGAGTATAGAACAGTCTATAGTCTTGACTATAGAACAGTCTATAGTCTTGAGTATAGAACAGTCTATAGTCTTGACTATAGAATAGTCTATGGTCTTGACTATAGAACAGTCTATGGTCTTGACTATAGAACAGTCTATAGTCTTGACTATAGAACAGTCTATAGTCTTGACTATAGAAAAATCTATAGTCTTGACTATGGAACAGTCTATAGTCTTAACAATGGAACAGTCTATAGTCTTGACTGTAGAACAGTCTATAGTCTTGACTATAGAACAGTCTATATTCTTGACTATAGAACAGCCTATAGTCTTGACTATAGAACAGTCTATAGTCTTGACTATAGAACAGTCTATAGTCTTGACTATAGAACAGTCTATAGTCTTGACTATAGAACAGTCTATAGTCTTGACTATAGAACAGTCTATAGTCTTGACTATAGAACAGTCTATAGTCTTGACTATAGAACAGTCTATAGTCTTGACTATAGAACAGTCTATGGTCTTGACTATAGAACAGTCTTGACTATAGAAGAGTCTATAGTCTTGACTATAGAACAGTCTATAGTCTTGACTATAGAACAGTCTATAGTCTTGACTATAGAACAGTCTATTGTCTTGACTATAGAACAGTCTATAGTCTTGACTATAGAACAGTCTATATTCTTGACTATAGAACAGTCTATAGTCTTGAGTATAGAACAGTCTATAGTCTTGAATATAGAACAGTCTATAGTCTTGTCTATAGAACAGTCTATAGTCTTGACTATAGAACAGTCTATAGTCTTGACTATAGAACAGTCTATAGTCTTGACTATAGAACAGTCTATAGTCTTGACTATAGAACAGTCTATAGTCTTGACTATAGAACAGTCTATAGTCTTGACTATAGAACAGTCTATAGTCTTGACTATAGAACAGTCTATAGTCTTGACTATAGAACAGTCTATAGTCTTGACTATGGAACAGTCTATAGTCTTGACTATAGAAAAATCTATAGTCTTGACTATAGAACAGTCTATAGTCTTGACTATAGAAAAATCTATAGTCTTGACTATAGAAAAATCTATAGTCTTGACTATAGAAAAATCTATAGTCTTGACTATGGAACAGTCTATAGTCTTGACAATGGAACAGTCTATAGTCTTGACTATAGAACAGCCTATAGTCTTGACTATAGAACAGTATATAGTCTTGACTATAGAACAGTATATAGTCTTGACTATAGAACAGTCTATAGTCTTGACTATAGAACAGTCTATAGTCTTGACTATAGAACAGTCTATAGTCTTGACTATAGAACAGTCTATGGTCTTGACTATTGAACAGTCTTGACTATAGAAGAGTCTATAGTCTTGACTATAGAAAAATCTATAGTCTTGACTATGGAACAGTCTATAGTCTTGACTATGGAACAGTCTATAGTCTTGACTATAGAACAGTCTATAGTCTTGACTATAGAAAAACCTATAGTCTTGACTATAGAAAAATCTATAGTCTTGACTATGGAACAGTCTATAGTCTTGACAATGGAACAGTCTATAGTCTTGACTATAGAACAGCCTATAGTCTTGACTATAGAACAGTCTATAGTCTTGACTATAGAACAGTCTATAGTCTTGACTATAGAACAGTCTATAGTCTTGACTATAGAACAGTCTATAGTCTTGACTATAGAACAGTCTATAGTCTTGACTATAGAACAGTCTATAGTCTTGACTATAGAACAGTCTATGGTCTTGACTATAGAACAGTCTTGACTATAGAAGAGTCTATAGTTTTGACTATAGAAAAATCTATAGTCTTGACTATGGAACAGTCTATAGTCTAGACTACGGAACAGTCCATAGTCTTGACTATTGAACAGTCTATAGTCTTGACTATAGAACAGTCTGTAGTCTTGACTATAGAACAATCTATAGTCTTGGCTATAGAACAGTCTATAGTCTTGACTATAGAACGGTCTATTGTCTTGACTATAGAACAGTCTATGGTCTTGACTATAGAACAGTCTATAGCCTTGACTTTAGAACAGTCTATAGTATTGACTATAGAACAGTCCATAGTCTTGATAATAGAACAGTCTATAGTATTGAGTAAAAGAATCTATATTATAAATTTTAAAATACTTATAAACACAATATTATTATTCAAAAGTGACACTTCTATTTTTAAATAAAAAATTATAAATAGAAACGTTATTTTAAGCAGACATCTTAATGATTAATGTCTGGCCTAGTAGAATAGAATAGAATTTAACCTATTATTTTCTCTTAAACCATAAATAGTCAGACATAATCGGTCATGGCTTATTTTATTAAATTGTTAAACTTTCTTTTATCTCACACGCAATAACAACCAAAATTAGTAACTAACAGCTACAATAATAGCACAACAATATGACTAATAAATGTCGCCAGTACATATTTGGTTACCAAAAAACCGAAAAAGAAAAAAAAAATGATTTCAGACCTACCACAACACCAAATATAGCTGGAGGCTAAATGTCTGCCACTCAAAATTAATCTAAAAACTACAATCAATATGAACACCTTAACGACAGTAGCACATACAACAGTAATCATTTAAAAAGCCCCATAAAACTAAATGAAACGATTAAATAAATAAATAAACACTCTTGGAAATTAATTCCAAAAATAGCGATGATCGTCATCATCAATATCGTGGATGTTGACAAAGTTTGCTGGTGTTAAATATGTATTTAGCGACAATAGATTCCCACAAATAATTTTGCATAATTTAACAAAACAAACAGTCAAATATGTATAAAAATGGTAATATTTTGTCGTTTTCTTTAATAAATGTTGACGTCATAGTAGTTTTTAATGGATCTATTTGGTGTTTTCATCTAAAAAACTGCGAATATTTAAATTAAAGCAAGAAAAGTAAATTCATTGATAATTCATTGGAATAAAACCAAAATTTAATGTTATAGATAAAAAACCTAATCTATAATTTCCTGTCAGTTTTAATCAAAATAATTGTTTTACTTCAGATACAATCTTTTAAATTATTTATTATATCTCTATTGGTGTTTGGCGGTTGACTACAGTCTCGATTCTCAAGACTTTGGAAAAAAATATACATATCTCTACATATATCAAGCACCCAAAGACACTTCATTCAAACAAAGTCCGCAACAAACATTTTTAATAATTTTAATTTATTCGATCCGTTTGGATCAGTTCGTAGTTTTGCTATAAGACAGTAGAACAGCCTATAGTCTTAAGAATTGACTAGTCCATAGCCTTGACTATAGATAAGCCTAGAGTTTTGACAACAGATCAGTTAAGAGTCTTGACAATAGATCTGTTACGAGTCATGAGTATATATCAGTCTATAGTCTTGACTATAGAATAGTATATAGTCTTAACTACAGATCAGTCTACAGTATTCACTATATATCACTCTACAGTCTTGACTATAGACCAGTCTATAGTATTCCATATAGATCACTCTACAGTCTTGACTATAGATTAATCTATAGTCTTGACCTTAGATCAGTCTATAACCTTGACTATAAGTAGATCAGCCTATAGTCTTGATTATAGATTAGTCTACAGTCTTGACTATAGATCAGTCTATAGTCTTAACTATAGATAAATCAATAGTCTTGACTATAGATCTATCTATAGTCTTGAATATAAATCTGTCAATAGTCTTGACTATAGATCAGTCAATAGTCTTAATATAGATAAGTCTATTGTCTTTACTTTAGACCAGTCTTTAGTCTTGACTATAGATCAATCTATAGTCTTGACTATATATCAGCCCGTAGTCTTAACTATAGATCAGTCAATAGTCTTGACTATAGATCAATCTATAATCTTGACTATAGATCAGTCTATAGTCTTGACTATAGATCAGTCTATAGTCTTGACCTTAGATCAGTCTATAACCTTGACTATAGATCAGTCTATAATCTTAACTATAGATCTGTAAATAGTCTTGACTATAGATCAGTCTATAGTCTTGACCTTAGATCAGTCTATAACCTTGATCAGTCTATAGTCTTGACTATAGATCAATCTATAGTTTTGACTATAGATCAGTCTGTAGTCTTGACCTTAGCTAAGTCTATAACCTTGACTATAGATCAGTCTATAGTCTTGACTATAGATCAGTCTATAGTCTTGACTATAGATCTGTCAATAGTCTTGATTATAGATCAGTCTATAGCCTTAACCTTAGATCAGTCTATAACCTTGATTATAGATCAGTCTATAGTCTTGACTATAGATTAGTCTACAGTCTTGACTATAGATCAGTCTATAGTCTTGACTATAGATTAGTCTACAGTCTTGACTATAGATCAGTCTATAGTCTTGACTATATATTAGTCTACAGTCTTGACTATAGATCAGTCTATAGTCTTGACTATAGATCAGTCTATAGTCTTGACTATAGATCAGTCTACAGTCTTGGCTATAAATCAGTCTAGAGTCTTGACTATAGATCAGTCTATAGTCCTGACTATAGATCAGTCTATAGTCTTCACTATAGATCAGCCAATAGTCAGATCAGACTATAGATCTTCAATACTCTTGATTATAGATCAATCTTGATTATAGATCAGTCTATAGTCATGAATATAGATCTATAGTCTTGACTATAGAACAGTTTAAAGTCTTGACTTTAGATCACTCTATAATCTTGAGTATAGAATAGTCTATAGTCCGGTTTATAGATCAGTCTATAGTATTGACTATAGATTATAGAGATGAGTATATATATATATATGATTATTAAATACTATTTATAACTGACCATTAAATGGCGTTATCTATAATCTTAACTGCATAATCATTAAATATATGTACATCATTCAATAGTCCTGATTATATAGAGTATAGACTGATCTATAATCTTAGATATACATATAACTGTATATTTCCTTTAAATCTAAAAATAAATACAAATTTACACATAAAACTTGTTTACAAGTTAAAAATATCTTATTTATACACTATATATTATTTATGCTAGACACTGAGTCGCTTAAAATTCTAAAAAGATCGTAAGCAATTTTCATACACTCTAGGGGATTCCCCCCTTCGAAGAGAAATACAAGTTTTGTTATTCTCCTTAAGTGTGTGAATAAATAATTTTACGAACTAAAATAAAAAATAACATTTTTATAGAGTAAAACGATCGTTTTAATGTGACATTTATCATCGCACAAAACAGATTTATTAATGAAAACAAAATAATACAGAAGATAGAAAAATAAAAAAAGCTATAAACTTTGAAACTTAACAGATCGTAATTTACATGCAAATTAGAATAAAATGTGGTCTAAATATGCAAATGATTATCACACTTATGCATAAATTGTATTTGATCGCACATTTTAATTCAAATTAAATTCATTCAGTTTTTGTTTAATCTTATTTATGTTTATTTCTCGTTTTTTTTTTTTTGCAGATTTTCTTGATTATAACCAGAATCGACAACGTCTTCACTATCGTAAAATTATAGATATGACGTTAAAACTTTTATTTATGCTAATTATGCCTTTGGCCTATACGGTTGTCAGCCAGTTTCTAGAGGATCGTTTCACCTCGACTGTATGTGCCGATAAAGCGGGCTGTATGCGGGGTCGTTTAATGCGTGGTTATAATACACCTTTATTTGAGGCCTTTATGGGTATACCGTATGCTTTGCCGCCATTGGGGGAATTGAGATTTAGTGTGAGTATAGGAAACTCAGTAATTTATATTGAAATTTTACTAAAAAATAAATAATTTTTCCTTATAGAGTCCCAAGGAGTTTCCAAAATGGGAAAATACTTTGAATGCCTTTGAAGCTAAACCGGATTGTATACAAAAGAATTATTTACTGCCAACATATCCGGTATCGGGTAGTGAGGATTGTTTGTATTTGAATGTTTATAGACCTTTGGTAAGTAAAACATAATATGAAAAAAATATCCGACACCAGACTTATGAAATTAATTTTGATTTTGGTAATTTTTACAAAATCTTTAGAACTATAAAATTACTGGGAAATAGTTCGGCTTCATCCAGACTACAGGCTATAAACAAGTCTAGACTACGATCTAAACATTTGACCAAAGTTTTGAGAATACCTTAGTCCAAATATTAGTCTACGCCTTAGTGCAGACTAAATCCCTGACTATAATTCAGATTTAAGTTCAAGCTATATTCCAGATTTAAGTTCAGATTCAGACTAAAGTCCAGACTCTAATTCAGACCATAGCCTAGATTATACTCTCGACTATATCCAGATTATAGTCTCAACTATAGTCCAGAATATAGTGCAAACTATAGTCCAGGCAATAGTCCAGACTATAGTCCAGACAATAGTCCAAACTATAGTCCAGACTATGGTGCAGACTATAGTGCAGACTATAGTCCAGACTATAGTCCAGACTATAGTCCAGACTATAGTGCAGACTATAGTCCAGACTGTAGTGCAGACTATAGTCCAGACTATAGTGCAGACTATAGTCCAGACTATAGTGACGACTATAGCCCAGACTATAGTGACGACTATAGCCCAGACTATAGTGCAGACTATAGCCCAGTCTATAGTGCAGACTATAGTCCAGACTATAGTGCAGACTATAGTGCAGACTATAGATCAGACTATAGTGCAGACTATAGTCCAGACTACAGTCCAGACTATAGTCCAGGCTATAGAGCAGACTATAGTGCAGATTATAGTGCAGACTATAGTCCAGACTATAGTGCAGACTATAATCCAGACTATAGTGCAGACTATAGTCCAGACTATAGTGCAGACTATAGTCCAGACTATAGTGCAGACTATAGTCCAGACTATAGTGCAGACTATAGTCCAGACTATAGTCCAGACTATAGTGCAGACTATAGTGCAGACTATAGTCCAGACTATAGTGCAGACTATAGTCCAGACTATAGTCCAGACTATAGTCCAGTCTATAGTGCAGACTATAGTCCAGACTATAGTCCAGTCTATAGTGCAGACTATAGTCCAGTCTATTGTGCAGACTATAGTCCAGTCTATAGTGCAGACTATAGTCCAGTCTATAGTGAAGACTATAGTGCAGACTATAGTCCAGACTATAGTGCAGACTATAGTGCGGCCTATAGTCCATACTATATTGCAGACTATAGTCCAGACTATAGTGCAGACTATAGTGGGCCTATAGTCCATACTATCTTGCAGACTATAGTCCAGACTATAGTGCAGACTATAGTGGGCCTATAGTCCATACTATCTTGCAGACTATAGTCCAGACTATAGTGCAGACTATTGTGGAGATAATAGTCCACACTATAGTGCAGACAATAGTCCAGACTATAGTCCAGACTATAGTCCATACTATGGTTCAGACTATAGTCCAGACTATAGTGCAGACCAGATTATAGTCTCGACTATAGTGCAGTCTATAGTACAAACTATAGTCCAGACTATAGTACAAACTATAGTAAAGACTATAGTCCAGACTATAGTGAAGACTATAGTCCAGACTATAGTGAAGTCCAGACTATAGTGAAGACTATAGTCCAGACTATAGAAGAAGACTATAGTCCAGACTACAGTGAAGACTATAGTGCATACTACAGTGAAGACTATAGTCCAGACTATACTACAGGCAATAGTCCAGACTATAATGCAGACAATAGTCTACACAATAGTCCAGACTATAGTCCAGCTTATAGTGCAGACTATAGTCCAGACTTTAGTGTAAGCTATAGTGCAAATTATAGTCCAGACTATTGTCCAAACTATATTCCAGACTATTGTCCAAACTATAGTCTGGACTATATGCAGACTATTGTGCAGACTATAGTCAAGACAATAGTCCAGACTGTAGTCCAGACTATAGTGCAGACTTTTGTCCAGATAATTGTCCAAACAATATTCCAGACTAAATTCCATATTATAGTCCAGACTAATGTCCAGACTATTGTCCAGACTATATTGCAGACTATAGTTCTGACTATAGTCCAGACTAAAGTGCGGACTGTTGTCCATACTATAGTGCAGACTATTGTCCAGACTATATTCCAGACTATAGTCCACTCTATACTCCAGACTATATTCCAGATTATAGGTGACTTGTTAGTGGTTGAGCTTAAGTACTAAATTTCCATATCTTCTACATTTTAGCATCATCACAGCACCCACAAATTACCCGTTATGATCTATATACATGGTGGCGGTTGGTTTAGTGGTACTGCCAATCCTGTCATAACAGGTCCTGAATATATTATGGATACCGAGCAAGTTATATTGGTAACATTTTCCTATCGATTAGGAGCATTAGGTTTTCTATCCACCGGCGATGCAAATATACCCGGTAATTTCGGCTTAAAAGATCAACTATTAGCCATGAAATGGGTACAAAATAATATAGCGGCATTTGGTGGTGATCGGGAAAAGGTAACTTTATTTGGCCAAAGTGTGGGTGGTGTATCGGCTCATATGCATATGTTAAGTCCTCAGGCGGAGGGTTTATTTCAGGGAGTAATAGCTTTAAGTGGCACCGCTAATGTACCGTTTGCTATTAACGACCAACCACTGGAGCAAGCAGTACGCACCGCCGAATTGTGTGGTATTGAAAATGCCACAAATTTAAGTACAAGGGAACTGTTGCATTCGTTAAGAGCGGTAGATGTTGATATTTTAATACGAGCAGGAGATGGTTTAAAATTTTGGAGTGTAGATCATATAACAAACTATCGACCGGTTATAGAGTCTAGGGACATTAAAGATGCCTTTCTAACCCAACATCCGGAGGATATTTTAAAGAGTGGAAACTATCAGCCGGTGCCCTTTATGTTGGGTACAGTACCTAAGGAGGGAGCAGTAAGAGTTGCAGCCATTATGGAGTCACAGCAGTTAAAAGATTCATTTAATAAAGATTTCTATAAAATATTACAAAAATTTTTGGATTTCCCACCACAACTAGAAGGCAAAGAGTTGGAGAGTAAAATGAAAAGAATTATACAAGAATATTTCAAAGGTGAAGAGGAGTTAAATGATAATACCAGACAAGGATTTTTAGATGTAAGTTATATATAGTTCAAGTTGTATAGATCAAGTTAAAAATTTCTTAATTCTCTTTTAAAACTAGCTGGTCACAGAACGTGGTTTTCATCATCCTTATTATAATGCCATCAAAAACTATATCAATACTATAGATACTAAAACATATCCTATATATTTATATAGTTTCAACTATTCTGGTCCCTATTCTTACTCTACCCTTTATACCGGAGGTTTAACATCTCTTGACTATGGTGTCGTACACTGTGATGATCTTATTTATTTGTTTAGATCTCCTCTATTATTTCCCGATTTTCCCAAAAATTCTCGTCATGCCAAAGCCTTACAATTATTTGTAGGCAATTTTGTGCATTTTGCTAAATATCGGTATGTTTTGAAAATATATAGTTAATTAATTTTATTTTTAATAATAATATCTTACTTTAATAGAGAGCCTCGCTCAAGTCCTCCCCTTAAAATATGCAATAAATCTACATTCCAACGTAAACCAGACACCATTTGTGACTATCAACTATTTGAAAATGGCAATTTAGAGGGTTCTACAAATATTTTAAAGACTGATAATAAATTT